AAGTGTAAACTCAGCTTATTGGACAGCTGAACAAGCATACTAGCTTTCACTGCGAAGTAGACTGAATGATTTAACGACGTCAGAACTAAGTAAAATGGGGATATTGTGTCAGAGAGCCGATAATGAAAATGATGAATTATCAACTCTCGATGAAACAAAATGTCTTAGCGTACAACCGAAAAAACACCGGGCTGACAGAATCGACACACTGTAAATACCAAAGTTATGCAACCTGCTAGCTTGTTTCTAGACAACTTCCAAAACAAGGAAACCACCCACAGCCTTGCGCAGCGGTTAGTTACTTTTGGCACCTGCTACACTCGGAGTACCTTCCAATATCCCGTCTCATAGCCCAGGCAAATTACTGAAACTGCTAACCATTCTAAATACTATTTGGGCCTAGTATAGTGTAAGTTAGAAGCAGTTAAGTATCACAGCAGCAGCAACAGTAAAGGGAATCATTGTGACTTAGATTGAAGCATTCAATCACTCACAACAACATGCTGATGTGACCAGTAATTTACAAAAAACTCATCTCTGCTTTCACTTTGTCAGAATTTTTATAAATTTGAGCTGCTGAGAAACGAAACAGTGAGGAGACCTTACCTCAACCATCGGTGAATGGGCTGACGATAATGTTCGCACCGCATCTTTCCGCAAAACAGCCACAGCTGAATCGCCGCACCAGCCAACACAAAGATGACGACGAGCACGCAAAAATGCACATGCAGCCGTTGTTCCGCTTTTTATGTGCTAGAAAAACATGCATTTTCAGGGAAATGAATTAAAACTATATCGATTCTTTTTAGTTTAAGAGATGTCTGCACGAAAGCGGATAAGCTAACATCCAGTTTTTGAAAGAAGCAAAATTTGTATGTTTGAATTAACTGGCTTTGAAACAGGGCATTTTCGCTGAGCAATACGATGTTAAGTGCTACGGAGTGCCAAGCTATCACGTGTTTAAAGATATACCTCACGTTTGCATCGAACCGTAAGTCTTTTATCAAGTGTACTGAACGCTCTTTTCATTACATCCTCAATACTGCCTGTAGCATATTCGGGATTATCGATCAGACATCGTGCGAAATGGGAGCTCGCATAATTGGCGCAATCGACACCATTATGCCCATCGAATACGGCAAAAAATGAGTCCTGATTACGACTTCGATCCTGAAAAAAATAACAACAACATCATCAACATCACCATCATTAATAATAAAATTAGTCATCGCTGCTTAAACATCCTATCAACAGCAATTTAAAATTTACTATTTTAATGTTTCTGAATATGTCTGGAGCAAAACGGCAGGACAAACTGTAACCTTACAACGCTGAGAATGAAGAAGGGGAGAAGGGAGGAGGGAAAGGACTAAACACGAAGTGATCATGTTACCCATTATCCGTTTCGGCACAAAATCAACTGAAACCTATATTGGTGGCAGGAGATGGAGCAAAAAAAGGAAAAGACCTCGAGAAAAACAAACAAGTAATTAGTCAGCGCGCCGAGTTTTTTGCATAATTCCCCACAGGCTCTTCTCGCTAACTGCACTGCTCTTTCCGGTAAATGCTTCTAACTAAAAGAATTGAGACTGGCTACCAAGACTGCGAGAAAACATTCCCTTAAAATTTCAGCCTTATAGCTTTTCAGGCCCCCGAATTAGCAACTTACCCGCTAAAAATATTAACCGTAGGTGGGGACCACACAGACTTAGAAAATGATTTTGAGTGATTTGTACGTAGATAGGGGACATCCCCTTAAAATCCCAGCTTTCTAGCTTTTCTGGTTTCCGAGTCAGCAACTAATCCGTCAAAAACTTTGATGGACCCGTACGTGGTAACCACGTGGACAAGAGCGCCGATTTTGGGAATGGAGGCCCGTACATGCATGTAGATTATGTTCCCTAAGTTTCAGCCTTGTAGCCTTTGTAAGTCTCGAGATGAGAAATCGGTACAGACGAACACACAGGCACAGACTCGAAAATTTACGTTTTTATATTGCACAGATGCAAAAATCGCGTAAAAACTGTTTAAAAAAAACCTTATTCGGTTCAATAAGAGACAATGTTGGCAGAATGACAGAGCGATCTTCCATTTTGGCACGTCGATTCCTTTGCGCACAATATGAGTAAAGGAGCTGATCCGGATCTGGTTGGTACTCTGCAAATGCTACGATAAGCAATGAAGTAAACACAACAGCCACTAAAAACCAAGAGTACTGTGCAAAGTCTGCCTCCGACTGTAAAACAAGAATTTCCAAGATTCCTGGATACAGTGGCGGAGGCTCTCCAAATGTTCTAACCTCTGATTTCAACAAAACCCTGCCTCAGCAGAGGCTTCACAAACCCGAATTCAGTCCCTAAGTATGCCGAGGTCTCACGTACGACCATGTGAAAGCTTTAGCGCGAAAATCACTCGAAAGTCAGAAAATTAGATTTAAATTTGGATGTTCACCGTCCAAGGTTTCAAATTCAGGTTCCACATACCGGCGCGTGAAATTTTTACCTGTTTATTACTAGTGCATGGCTTTTTTTGTTATTACTACTATCATTCTACGTTTATTTCTGTCATTCTCCAAGAGGAACAAGTTACCTGGTAAGGGGATAGAACTGGCCGCCAGTTTTGTGAGATAGCTCTGCAGGCGGACGATAACTTTAGGGCACCAGACTGTAGCATCGATAGCATCGTAATCATTCTCATCAAATGGGACATCTGCTGTTTGCAGCTCACTTGCATACAGATCAACCAGCGAATATGCCACTACATAAGCAGCCCACTGCGGGAACTGTCTGAAACGAGTGACAGTTATTAACACTGACAAAAACCGATCCCAACTTAAATATTTTTCACAATAAAAAAATCAATTTTACAAAATCTGCTTTTCGATTAGCGCTTATAATTCGGCCGAAACATACGAAGTTTTAAATATTTTAAGATCAAATTTACTCCAATTTCGACTTCGAATAATCCAGCACTTAATATTAATGAAGGAATAAGGACAGAATAATAGCAGTAATAATAACAATCATTACAAAACTATTATTGTAATTCAATAATAAGCCATTGTTACAGTGCCCTTTATCGGTATAAAATGGAAACAAGTTGCTGAAACCGATAAATAAGAAGCCGAGGACTTTCCCACCCCCTCCCTTCCATGGAAAAATAACATATGTGTGTCAGTGTGAATGTATAGAGACTCCCGAAATTAATGCATGCGAAAAAGCCGATATTAGATAAAACGAAAATACCTATGAAATACCTTTATCAGTGCTGGCAATTCTTTATGCATATATCGAAAATGCATAAAGAATTGCAATCACTGATAAAGAAACAGCATATTAATAGGTATTAGCGGCAAAAATACGTATATGTATCAGACTGCTATTTGTTTCATTTCACCAGGGATTGTATACAAAGAGATTTTAATCTAGGCAGTGACCGGGTGATTCATAAAATTGCAATAGAACTGTTTGGTGAAAGTTACAGATCGATAAACGCAGTTTTATATGTGTGTTGATTTGAATGTAAAAAAGACTACTTAAACTAGTACATGCTGGATTGAGTGCGTGAATGCATCATAAATGCAGCAGGTACTTACGATTGCCTGTACGCTAGTTCATTCGTGTTTACAGCTAAGGGATGAAACACAGACTGACTAGATCATATCGCTGATCGTTTATATATCATTTAGATCGGGAAATGACTGAACAGCAAATCATATAGTTTAACAGTTCAAATATTTTACTAGTGCCATTTAAACAGCGAAGCTAAAAAGAGCAAATTTCATTGGTAATTAAATGCATGAGAAACTGGAACCTCTGAATGAGATGTTCTACAATTAGTGCAACTGCATCGCCACGTGCGTCGTGCTTCGGAGTTTGCAGGAACGGTGGACGAAATCGAATGTTTGCTGATTCGGTACCGTTAGTTTGTGATGAATGTAAGTAATTTTGAGCAAGCGAGATGAGCGTTGTTGCTTCATCGGTCTGCTGCTGCTGCGGCTGCTGCTGCGCTGCCGGCGAAGCTCCATCGTCCATCCTGAACAAAAATACAACATTCTGTGACTGGAAGACACCCACGGAGAGAGTCCGAAAACGTCCAATGCGCTACTTATACTCGCAAATGGGCTTAGGAAGAAACGGGACAACGCGCAATGAGTGCAAAGTCGTACAATATAATCTGTTCAGTACAAAAAAAAAAAAAACAGGCTCAGGAGAGCAGCTTCGATTCGCCGGCAATCAGTGCTAGCGATCAGAGAAAATGTTCGCGGATGCACCGCTCGAAAGATCGTCCTGCCCCTCGGCGGACCTCACTGGAGCACAGCAGAGCCCCCACTGCAACCCCGTGTACCTAAAAGAAAAGACTGCTTCAGCATGAAGCAGACGAGCACGACGACGAAGACGAGGATGCGCAGCCTCTTCTCGGTCATGATGGGATCGCTCCGCTCTCAGCGCTATCATCATCCGGCCCTACCGAGCATGCATCCCGTGCGTGTGACTCATATCCGGCCTTTATCTCATCCCACGATCAATTTTTGCTCCAGTACCCCCACCAGCCATGCTATTATATATTTCACAAAGTATAAAGTTCTCTTTGCTAGCAAAATCATAAGCGATATGAAAAGATATAAAAGTGAATTAATGCAAAGTAAAAGTGATAACGCATACAGAAACGGTAACACGCATACATACATACATACATACATACATACATACATACATACATACATACATACATACATAC